ACCGCTGCCGTTCCACTTTCGTCAGCCTTCGGGTCTGTTGAAGAGACACATATTTCAAGTAAATTTATGGGTTAGTTCATTCATGTTCATACATGATGGGACATTGAGTCTGGGGAGCTCTGTACACTTTGTGACTTGTAGGACAGGTCTATGACAACTGAAGTTGAACCTCATTCAAGTTGAAAGTGACTTAAGTGGCTGGGAATTCAAAACAACATTTGTTAACCAACCTTCATTTCTTGACTTTAAGAACAACTGTTGTTATTTAGTCTTTTTTTGCCATTTAGTCCATTTTCTTTGACGTTTAACTAGTTTAATGCAATCTACCCAAGTAGGTCATATTCCTGGCTAGCCCTGGAACAACATTCCTATTAACTAATAAAGTTTTACCGTTAGGTTAAGGGTTGGGGGTTTGAACAATGTTCTTATAAACCAATAATATCCTTCTCATTTCAGAGGGAGGTTAGGGTTAAAATGGGGTGGAAGGTGTTCAAGCTATGATTGTTTGATTAAAATATTGTTCCTTGTACTTAAAAAATAACAGTGCAATTAACTGCAATAACTGCAATTTGGGAGGTCAAAAATTGACAAAATGATCCATGCAATTATTATTATCATTTTTTTTTTTTAACCTAAACTTCATGGGTCAGAAGTTTCAGAATGGTACTTCAAACTGAGAATAAACGCACCAGAATTCCCTGACAAATCAAAACACAACTTACTAAATTACTGTTAGCAGCTATTCTGTGTTTTTGAAGTATCAGAAATGCAGTAGACGTCAAAATGTGCCAAATCCATAAGCTGGCACACAGTCTATGCAAAAATAATCTGTGCTACGCACATGGAAAAACTGACAGCGCTGTCTTCTTTCATAACTTTGATTTGCAGCTTTTGGCTTTAAAGGCTGAACTGCATAATTTTCTGCAAGAGAAGGAAGTAGTTGACAGAAGTTGTTGGTCAAAACACATATGGCACCCCAGAGTTTGTTTGCATTTCCACATCTGGCTCTCCAGACAGCTTAACCTGTCCTACGCATGACATTATGTCAAAGGCACAGCCAGATGGTGCCAACAACATGGGGGCACCTTTCAGTCTCGGGCCCCTGAGACAGGTGACAGGTCAACCAGACCAATGACTGCTTCATGCTCATGGTTGTTAGTCTTTAACAAGCAAAAACACACTCAAATTGGATGTTTTTCATCTTTCACACAGAGTACTGATTGTCCAGAATGAGCTCACGCATGAAATATGTTTATTGCTTTAGGTAGACAAGCCTACCGTGAGTGCAAAACTTTGAAATGCTCAGTGAAAAGGCTAATTTCAGGTGCTTAGTCTAATGGATAACATCTTTCTGATAGAACTGAAACATCCTGAATGTGGGGCAAAGACAGTTGGTTATGTAACCAAGGCAGATGAGGACAATCTTGACAGGTTTGGATGAAGTTGGTGGGAGTGAGGGGTGAAGAGTGCATGAGTGTGTCGAGAGTGCATTAATAAGAGTAATGTGGTAATATGGTACTGCAAGGAAAGTAGAAAAGAAGATTCAGTGTCCTGTATGTTAGACAGAGCTGCTGAGGAATGCTGTTGCCTCTGTGACAACACTATTTCAGGACGTACCCCGCTACAGTCCTGGAAAAACAGCTGTGTGAAACTTACTCTCTCCTTCCCTCAGTTGCTTTCCCTGCCCACCCACAATTTCCCCTCAGATAAGTGGTTCTCAACTGACTTTGCTACACAATAAGTGGTTCTCAACAGTTTTTTGTTTAATACTAAGTGCTTCTCAACTGGGTTTGCTTCACGATAAGTGGTTGCTTTGCTTCAAGACTAAAATTGCTAATAAAGTAGCATAAAAATGGTGTATATTTTAAGATAAAAAATGTATTTATTGATAAATATATTTATCAATAAAATCATGAACTGCATAGGTCCGATAATATGCATAATTATTTACATGAAATAATAATAAAAAAATGAAAATAAAAATAATTGGGTAATTATAACCATTTCAAAAAGAAATCATCTTTCGTAGTTAAAGTGTTTAGATATTGCTTAAAAAAAGAAAGAAAAGAAAAACAGAAAATATCTACTGTTCACGTGGTCATGCTCATCAGCAAAACACTTTCATGGTATAATTCTCTCATTATAAATATAATAATATAATAATCACAAAATTTTGCCGTGTCTGACTGGATGAAGAATTTATCAAACATGTTCTTCTAATCTGTGCTCCCTGGTATGTAGCATAGTCTCGGGCAGAAGCCCAGTTCTGGTGGTTAGCGGACTAGTTCTTAGCTGTGGCTGCCAGTGCAATTTAGCACTAAACTAACCACTAATGGGACCACACTCAGAATGACTGCCTTGAGTTTTACTAGAGAGAAAACTGACCACTCACAGAAATATGAATGGGAAAAATCACAACACTCAATATGGAGGCTACAGGAATGCAAGTCTTGCCTTTCATTTAAAAAAAAAGCTAACATCTTTTTAGTACAGTTTGTTTATGCTACAATGCATAAGTGCATCTTAAAATACATTACTGAAAACCTGACAGACAGTTTTGGACATTTGGACATGATTTTCTTCTCACAGGCTGCATGCCAAAACAACAACATGACCAGTGTAGTCCGATATAAGAACAAATGACTGAGTCGGTTCTTTTTCGGGAATCAAAAACATACACCAGTGTAGCCCAGTTTCCAAAATTAATGAACTAAGGAATAAAACACTACATGGCAAGCTACTGTTTGAAACACTGCCATCAAAATTGGACTCAAATCAAATCAAGTGCTTTTGAATCTAAATTAAATTGGGAAATCTGTGACCAAATCTACTGTCTAATCTAGCTTTTAAGACAAAAACTGCTCATGACATCTCTTCATCAGTTCTTTGTACTTTAGCAGGGACTTTCCATCCAAGCTAAGAGTCTGTCTCACCGGGGTCGTTTTTTCATGACAGCAAAAAATTGTCCTTGATACTTAAATAATCTTATTTGCACATTCATCAATCCCAAGTGTGGGAAACTCAGCACCACGAGTCAACGCACCTGTTAAACACACTCCATGAGC